ATTGCGCTGGTCCCGCTAACTCTGGATCGACATGGGTTCCATGCAACGTTGACATTACATGTTAAATCACATTGTCTGTTTGCATTAAATTCGGACGAACGCTGCCTGACTAATGACACGTTCCATAAACCGAAGATAAACAATAAATGTCTACTCACATGGTGCATATATTTCAACCTCACAAAGTGAGAGAGTGGTTGTGACATTTGGTATTAACACCGATACATACTGCCCAGTTATACCGTCGCCACATTCGAATTCAATTATTTCCTCCATGGCTAGCTCGTCACTCACCTCCTCACCACACTGGGCTCCTCCATTCATATCAGGTTCGTTGCTGATAATCAACACTGCACCAGTCAAAGGAGAAGCTGTATAAGGGAAGAACGGATATTTAAATTTAAACGCCCAATACTGATTGACAGTATATACCATTTTGGCAAACAATCAATTGATTCAATAGGACATGTTTAGTAATTAATTGCGAGCTTGGTGTCGGTGATTGGTAAAAAATAGGATGTCAGCTGTTATGACATCCCGGAATGCGGTGACATTAAGTGAAACAGGCTAAAATGCCATGGCGAAGTCAGGTGTAATATTAAAATGTAAGTTATGCCACTGAACTGGTTGAAGTATGCCGGAGCAGCAAGTTCAAGGTCGCCTCCCTGACACATAATTTTATTTTGCTGTATGTCGTAAAAACACGCTTGACTATGACGTCAGCGTAATCAATTAGCCAATTGAAATGAAGAAATGCTTTGTCTAGTACGAGTTTGAAGGCTTGCAGTAGAATATGCCATATTACCTGCCAAGTGATATACATGTTTGAAATAATTCGCATTGAATGTAACATATAAATTATAAAACGCCCGTGACATTTTTTTAATTCAAAATTATAAAAGTATGATCATTAGGCACTCCGAATTTTATGTAAATTATGTAATTGTTAGTGAAATCACAATTTAAACTGAGGTCGTGAAGCAGAACATTAAAAATGACGACCAAACTATATGACGTAATATTTTTAATTTTTCTCACAATAAGAATCAACATAAGCCGAGCAGATCATAAGCAATGATGCCGACCAGTAATGGCAAATATTCAGAATTCAAATGCTCCAATTTGTGGCAGTATTTGGCGAAAATCCACGTTTGCGGCCAAACCATGTGACTGATCAAAATTATTTTATTTTTCTTGTAAGAAGCTTTGACCGTATTTTAGTATACAAGAAATACATGAGCCAGAACTTTTGATTATGTTGCCGATAATACAAGATAGCGGCAAAACCACGTGACTGATCAAAATGATTTGACTTTTCTTATACGCGCTACAAATAAAATAACAAATTGCGCACTCATAAGAAACAAATGCGTCTGTAAGATAGTGTCTAAACAACGTGACTAATCAAAATTATTTTTTCTCGTACGAAGTTTGAGCCATACATTCAACACGCGAAATATCAGCTCTTCTTTCCTCTTTAGAAGAAATCAAAGATGGCAGCCAAACCACGCGACTATGACAAATGATTATCAAACTTGGAATGGTTTTGTAGATGATAAAAAAAACAAATTTCCGATCAATGTGTTCAGTAATTCCAATAAAAAAGTTGTTTGAGAGTTTTTTTTTCATTTTCCGTGCAAGAAACATGACGGAAAAAAGTCAGGTGGCCACTGAACTTTTATTGGTGAGTTCAATTGCACACCAGATTGCATTGACACTCTGAAAGTGGTCAAAAAGCCATTTCAAGCTTACATTTAATCCAATATAGCTGTCAAATGAGTGGGCCAATCACAATTTGAATGAAAATTTGAGAATATTCCATTGAGTTGTATTCGCAAACAAGTGAATAAAAAATGCGGGAGTAAAATGAAAACAGAAGATAATTACAAAAGTAAGAATAGGGTCCAAGCCGACTTTAACACTTATAACATCAACTTTACGGGCAGGGTTAATTTACGAGGCAACGCACAGAGCAACGAAAGAAGCAACACGTAGCATGCACACGACAATACTGTTTATATGTGACAACTGATGGCGCGACTCGTCGCCAAATCGCCCGCTTTGCGCATGAGCAGAATACTATTGTACATTCTTTGCCGCACAATTTCAATTGTTGTTTAAAAGTCTGGACGCATTTATAGGTAAATGTTGATTGTTTGTATTATGCACCATAATCACAAGTCTCATTCTGAGTAATATGCAAATGAGGGATTGAGTAGAAGAACTGGTTAGTGTTCGTCCTAGGCGATTTTGCTAGTGTTAATTAGGCCACACCGACTTAATTTTATGGATGACATCCACGCGCGCATTAGTTTTCGCCTGTTCTCAAAAATAAAAAAACAAAAAATCTCCGACGACGAGTCTCCACAGATCGGTTTTCTGTCCGGAACTTGCCGACTCATATTGTCGCAAAGCGCCGGCTTGTCGTAAAAT